TAAATCCTATAAACTATCATATAATCATTTTGAAAAAATTATCTGTTTAAAGCTCTTCACATTGCAATGTTAGGTAATTGTTTGCACCTTGTATAAATGCTAAACCTTTATCTTATGTTTTTCTGTCGTCTAAATATGTCTAATAGCTTTTTCCGAGAAAGATAATGTAATTGCAAAGTTGATGGCCTTTCAATAAAAAACTAGAAGTGGTTAGAAAATGTCAATGGTTAGCTCTCCAAAAGTTCAAGTTAGGTAAAACAGTCAGGCTTAAATCATGCAGCGTAGCTCCACTCATAGCTTATATCTTTTTAATTAGATGATTAGGGATGACACGAATAAAAATACCAATATCGGGCTTCTAAGTGGAGGCTTGAGACTGATTTATATCTCACAAGAATTTTATGAGTGTGGATGTCTTAACTTGCTTTTCTGATTCTTTTATCAACCAATGTACTTTGCAGCTCTAATGATAGACGCATTCAAGTAGCACCAGAGGTTAATCATACACCCTTGGAAAACACGGCAATTGATATGTCTGGATTGGAATCTAAATGTGAACCTTCCACGTTAAAATGTGGGAAGAAAGTAAGAAGGCAAAGGCAGAGGAAATTATGTAATGAAGCTGAAGGATTGTGCCAACATTTCAATCGTGGTAACTGCTTTGTTCTTTGGCCTTTGCAATGTCGCTGCTATTCTAATAATCTCATAGCTAATTGGATCCAATGATATGACAATACTTTCTACTAGGAGTAAATTATGTTAAGATTTGATACATTCTTATGTGACAGCTTTTCTGTTCCGAGTCAAAGACCTAAAATTCTGGATTGGTGCTTGTATGATTTTGATTGATAAAAACTGATTTCCTGTCATCATGGAACATATTAATTCTAAGTATAGATTTTGCTGAGTAAAGGCAGCGTGTTATTAAAAATTGATAGATCTTGCTGTTGTGTTAAGCTTTTTTTTTTTTTCATTTTTGCAGATATGCACTTTCAAGAAACGCCTGAATCATATTCTGCTACAATTGCCAAATATTGGTGTCAGAGGTATACTTTGTTCTCTAGATTTGATGATGGTGTAAAGATGGACGAGGAAGGATGGTTTTCTGTCACTCCAGAGGCTATTGCTCAGCATCAAGCAATACGTTGTGCTAGTGCCATGATAATTGACTGCTTCACTGGTGTTGGTGGGAACTCTATCCAATTTGCACGACGGTGAGGACTGAATAGGAATTACTCACTGTTGATATATTTTATAGTAATTTTAATTTTTGTCTGCTATGATGATAATGTGTGCGGAATGGTTGTCAACAACTCATAAAAAAGTTCTGTATTTTTCCAAAGAAAGAAAATAAATTAACATTTATTATGATTAATATATTCTTTTAGCAACATGAATTTCTTTAATATAACTTAGAACAAGAAAGACATTAAACACGCCCTTGGGTTTGTTGTTATTATCTCATTCATGCACACTTTCCTCCTTGTGTTCTAAGCTACTTTGGATTTGTGTGATGTATCTTGTGAGCCTACCTCTTAGTGCCTTCATGTTCAAAAGGGTCAATTTATGGATGCAATATCACACTTCATCTGACACAAAATAATACATTTCTAGTTGGACTTCCCACCTAGTGAATCCCATATTTAACTCTAAGAACATTGTGTTGCCCTCATGCAAAATTTGTTAATGCATATATTGCATGGTTATAGGTGTTGGCATTCACTTAGCATATATTAGATGATTAACATATGTTCTTATTCTTCTCTCTTTGGTTTATTTTGTGCTTAGTAATCCAATTTATATAGTCTAGTAACTACCAACAACAAATTGTTAATATTCATTTCATTTTTACTGTTAAACTGGATAAAGACATAATGATTCTTACCATTTTTGTCCAATCAAGTTATTCTGGCCTGATTGCTAGTTTTGTTCCACTATGAAACAATGGTTTTGTTTAAACTTCCACTATTCAGTCATAATGTTGTAAATTTGGTGAAATGATTATGTCTTACTTTGAGAAAACTAATCTTTAAATATAAGTTTTGATCTCTGTAATTGACAATGACTTGATATTACAGTTGTGGGCATGTAATTGGGATCGATATTGATTCGTTGAAGATTGACTATGCTAGGCATAATGCTGCTATTTATGGGGTGGTTGATCAAATTGACTTTATAGTTGGTGATTTCTTCCTCTTGGCACCAAAGTTAAAGGTATTGAAGTTTTCATATTACTTGCTTTGGGGGATGTCAATGCCATTGTTGATATGTAATGGCTAGGATGCTTCTTTTTGGATTCTTAAAATGAATAATAAAAGCATTGAACGTAAGCTTGAGTAAAACTTTTTTTTTACACTAATGTTACCCGTGTAATTGTGCTCTATAACCTACACCTTCCAATTTACTTTAGCAATACATGGTGATACTTGTGCTTTGCCATCTTGCTTATTGAACATATTTTATCATAATCTGTACCCTGATGACTGCTTTCATCTCCTGTTTTTTTCGCTCAAGATTTGAACTAGAGGTCCATAACAGATGTGTAAGATTTGAAACCCTTGTCTAGCCGAAGCCATACAAGTTCCTGTAATCTGTATTTCTTATAAACATTCCAGAAAGCCTCAACATAATTATCATGTAGCTCGTATTTTAATAGTTTGTCAGATATGTTATACTTGTTAATTTGCTGCTCAAAGATGTTAAAATTCCTTGAAAAATCAGATCATCACTGTAATTTTTGTGCGATGTATAGTGTATCAAATCATTAACACCTGGGTGTGAATCTTTGTAAGAAGTGAGAGGGGGAACACAGATGGGCGGTTGGGCACAGTTCTTTCTTGGCCTACCAAAACGGGTGTGGTTAAGAAAGTTTTACTTCTAAATATTATAATTTTGTTCTTTTTCTATGCTTCAAAGGTATGTGATATGTGTTCCTTTCTTTATTCCCTGGTTTACATCCTCTTGGATTTGGTATGGTGTTGCCTTTACAATTTCATATGAAAATGGATGACAAAAGAAATAAAATTTTATCCTAGATTATGGATAGTGTAATATGATTGGAAGTTAGTCAACTTTTAGAAGTAATATACTTCGGGGTAGTTTGACAAATTGACAGTATATTGTCTTGCAGGCTGATACCGTTTTCTTATCTCCACCATGGGGGGGACCTGATTATCTCAAGGCTACTACTTATGACATGAAGACAATGCTTAGACCTCATGATGGGTAGGTACTTGCTTCCTTTCTGTTGCAGCTTTTGAATTTTATCTCCCATTTAGATTTCTGTTTTCTTGGTGCAAAGATACATACCTTTTTACAATCCCATTTTAACTTAAAGCTGCTCCTGCGTAGTCATACACTGTTTAGTGCTGCAAAGGAGATTGCTTCCAGAATTGTCATGTTCCTTCCAAGAAATATCAATTTCAACCAATTGGCTGAGTTATCTCTGTCATCCAGTCCACCATGGTCACTAGAGGTAATTTCAACTTCTTATCTGTTTGATGTGCTTTAGTTTGAAGTGTATATATAAATAACCCCTACCTCTTAAGGTAAACGGAAAAAAAGAGCGAGGGGCAGAGTGTGAGACAATGTCTTACCGGGGTTGAGAGTATTTTATTGTTGATAGTTTGATGATGAGTATCTGTTCGGTAAACTATTGAGACGAAGTTATGTTTTATATGACTAGGTTATTGTATTTCTTAAAGGCCTAAGTGGTGTAACATAATACACAAGAATATGGGTGTACAATGTGGTAACTCTTTGATTGTCTTCCGTTAACTAGTGTTTTAGGGTGTTCAATTTCCCTAGTGTACTCGTTAGAGGCTGGTTTGAGGATCACTTTTCTATGTTAACAATGACACATGTTTATAGGTTGACTAGGTAAAGAAACAAGCCACGTTATAATTGATTATCAATGCTGCATTATCTTCACTGTTCTTGTGTGAAGCATAATATAACCAATAGGGGATTTATATCATTGTATTCTTTGGTGGCTTATTAAATATCTATCTCTTGAAAATTAACCCCTTCGTCTATGGTGGTTCTAGGTGGAGAAAGTTTATTTAAATAATAAATTGAAGGCCATCACAGCTTATTTCAGTGATACAACAGTAGGAGGGTGCTAAGTTAAACACACTAACTTCTGCTGCATATTAAATTAAGGGTACTCATCCCCTGCGAGGAGAAAAAGATTGACAAAGGGAAAAAAGCAATGAGGTGGTTTTGAAGTTGTGCTTCTAGTATCGGTACTTTTTCGAGGAATTTTTAGCTCAATCTTCAATGTACCAAAATAACTCTTGTTTCAGTTACATTGTAAAAGCTGTGCATACTGTATTTACCCCTTTTCCCAAATGAACTTGTACATATGACCTCTGTAACACTAGATATACAGATAAAGTTATTTGGGAAAGGTTTGTTGATTGTGTAATGATGGGGGAAGAGAATAGTACCCTCCACAGGTTATAAAGAGGGATTTCTTAGGAGATGTTCATTATCCATCTCATTTCAGTGATTTCAATGATTACCAGGGCCTTTGGTAAAAATTCTTATAAGAAAAATTAAAATAACATTGTTAATTTAAAATTAAATTTTGTTAAGATTTATCACTCAGAAAAATTAATGTGATAAAGTATTTATCATGAAGTTTATTCATACTAGTTGTAATTAGGTCTCATGTTTTGGAGGCATTTAAATATTGAGTCATTTTAACCTGGTTGGAATGTTGCTTTTTACAACATATTTTCATACTTGCATTAATGATTAGATTTCTTGAGTTAATGTGTATAATTTTGTATATGATATTATTATATTTATATCAATGTTGTTTGTAGTGGAAGGAGACCCATGTCATTTATATTTATATTCCACCTCTAATTATTTGTTTCAAAATACATCTAAATCATCGTGTATGCACTTAGTTCAATAATTTATATGTAATATTGAGATTGATATTGTCAGAACCATTAAAAACTCACTAAAAATCTCATTTGAGTGGAAGACAAATGTCGAGTAAGGGAGCTGAAAATCAGAAAGTGGAAGACAGGTGTGAGCAGTCGAGTGGCCGTTCGGTTTTGGAGGGTAGAAGTAAAACTTAGTTTTTCAAAATTCACGCCACTCTCTGCATGCAACCATCTTCTTCAATCTTCTGAAACTCCANTTTTACTGTTAAACTGGATAAAGACATAATGATTCTTACCATTTTTGTCCAATCAAGTTATTCTGGCCTGATTGCTAGTTTTGTTCCACTATGAAACAATGGTTTTGTTTAAACTTCCACTATTCAGTCATAATGTTGTAAATTTGGTGAAATGATTATGTCTTACTTTGAGAAAACTAATCTTTAAATATAAGTTTTGATCTCTGTAATTGACAATGACTTGATATTACAGTTGTGGGCATGTAATTGGGATCGATATTGATTCGTTGAAGATTGACTATGCTAGGCATAATGCTGCTATTTATGGGGTGGTTGATCAAATTGACTTTATAGTTGGTGATTTCTTCCTCTTGGCACCAAAGTTAAAGGTATTGAAGTTTTCATATTACTTGCTTTGGGGGATGTCAATGCCATTGTTGATATGTAATGGCTAGGATGCTTCTTTTTGGATTCTTAAAATGAATAATAAAAGCATTGAACGTAAGCTTGAGTAAAACTTTTTTTTTACACTAATGTTACCCGTGTAATTGTGCTCTATAACCTACACCTTCCAATGTACTTTAGCAATACATGGTGATACTTGTGCTTTGCCATCTTGCTTATTGAACATATTTTATCATAATCTGTACCCTGATGACTGCTTTCATCTCCTGTTTTTTTCGCGCAAGATTTGAACTAGAGGTCCATAACAGATGTGTAAGATTTGAAACCCTTGTCTAGCCGAAGCCATACAAGTTCCTGTAATCTGTATTTCTTATAAACATTCCAGAAAGCCTCAACATAATTATCATGTAGCTCGTATTTTAATAGTTTGTCAGATATGTTATACTTGTTAATTTGCTGCTCAAAGATGTTAAAATTCCTTGAAAAATCAGATCATCACTGTAATTTTTGTGCGATGTATAGTGTATCAAATCATTAACACCTGGGTGTGAATCTTTGTAAGAAGTGAGAGGGGGAACACAGATGGGCGGTTGGGCACAGTTCTTTCTTGGCCTACCAAAACGGGTGTGGTTAAGAAAGTTTTACTTCTAAATATTATAATTTTGTTCTTTTTCTATGCTTCAAAGGTATGTGATATGTGTTCCTTTCTTTATTCCCTGGTTTACATCCTCTTGGATTTGGTATGGTGTTGCCTTTACAATTTCATATGAAAATGGATGACAAAAGAAATAAAATTTTATCCTAGATTATGGATAGTGTAATATGATTGGAAGTTAGTCAACTTTTAGAAGTAATATACTTCGGGGTAGTTTGACAAATTGACAGTATATTGTCTTGCAGGCTGATACCGTTTTCTTATCTCCACCATGGGGGGGACCTGATTATCTCAAGGCTACTACTTATGACATGAAGACAATGCTTAGACCTCATGATGGGTAGGTACTTGCTTCCTTTCTGTTGCAGCTTTTGAATTTTATCTCCCATTTAGATTTCTGTTTTCTTGGTGCAAAGATACATACCTTTTTACAATCCCATTTTAACTTAAAGCTGCTCCTGCGTAGTCATACACTGTTTAGTGCTGCAAAGGAGATTGCTTCCAGAATTGTCATGTTCCTTCCAAGAAATATCAATTTCAACCAATTGGCTGAGTTATCTCTGTCATCCAGTCCACCATGGTCACTAGAGGTAATTTCAACTTCTTATCTGTTTGATGTGCTTTAGTTTGAAGTGTATATATAAATAACCCCTACCTCTTAAGGTAAACGGAAAAAAAGAGCGAGGGGCAGAGTGTGAGACAATGTCTTACCGGGGTTGAGAGTATTTTATTGTTGATAGTTTGATGATGAGTATCTGTTCGGTAAACTATTGAGACGAAGTTATGTTTTATATGACTAGGTTATTGTATTTCTTAAAGGCCTAAGTGGTGTAACATAATACACAAGAATATGGGTGTACAATGTGGTAACTCTTTGATTGTCTTCCGTTAACTAGTGTTTTAGGGTGTTCAATTTCCCTAGTGTACTCGTTAGAGGCTGGTTTGAGGACCACTTTTCTATGTTAACAATGACACATGTATATAGGTTGACTAGGAAAAGAAACAAGCCACGTTATAATTGATTATCAATGCTGCATTATCTTCACTGTTCTTGTGTGAAGCATAATATAACCAATAGGGGATTTATATCATTGTATTCTTTGGTGGCTTATTAAATATCTATCTCTTGAAAATTAACCCCTTCGTCTATGGTGGTTCTAGGTGGAGAAAGTTTATTTAAATAATAAATTGAAGGCCATCACAGCTTATTTCAGTGATACAACAGTAGGAGGGTGCTAAGTTAAACACACTAACTTCTGCTGCATATTAAATTAAGGGTACTCATCCCCTGCGAGGAGAAAAAGATTGACAAAGGGAAAAAAGCAATGAGGTGGTTTTGAAGTTGTGCTTCTAGTATCGGTACTTTTTCGAGGAATTTTTAGCTCAATCTTCAATGTACCAAAATAACTCTTGTTTCAGTTACATTGTAAAAGCTGTGCATACTGTATTTACCCCTTTTCCCAAATGAACTTGTACATATGACCTCTGTAACACTAGATATACAGATAAAGTTATTTGGGAAAGGTTTGTTGATTGTGTAATGATGGGGGAAGAGAATAGTACCCTCCACAGGTTATAAAGAGGGATTTCTTAGGAGATGTTCATTATCCATCTCATTTCAGTGATTTCAATGATTACCAGGGCCTTTGGTAAAAATTCTTATAAGAAAAATTAAAATAACATTGTTAATTTAAAATTAAATTTTGTTAAGATTTATCACTCAGAAAAATTAATGTGATAAAGTATTTATCATGAAGTTTATTCATACTAGTTGTAATTAGGTCTCATGTTTTGGAGGCATTTAAATATTGAGTCATTTTAACCTGGTTGGAATGTTGCTTTTTACAACATATTTTCATACTTGCATTAATGATTAGATTTCTTGAGTTAATGTGTATAATTTTGTATATGATATTATTATATTTATATCAATGTTGTTTGTAGTGGAAGGAGACCCATGTCATTTATATTTATATTCCACCTCTAATTATTTGTTTCAAAATACATCTAAATCATCGTGTATGCACTTAGTTCAATAATTTATATGTAATATTGAGATTGATATTGTCAGAACCAATAAAAACACACTAAAAATCTCATTTGAGTGGAAGACAAATGTCGAGTAAGGGAGCTGAAAATCAGAAAGTGGAAGACAGGTGTGAGCAGTCGAGTGGCCGTTCGGTTTTGGAGGGTAGAAGTAAAACTTAGTTTTTCAAAATTCACGCCACTCTCTGCATGCAACCATCTTCTTCAATCTTCTGAAACTCCATTTTTCTCCTTCTTCTCTCTAAAAAGCTCTTACTTCTCTTTACAAAATCTCACTATTTTCTTCTTCCGATCATCAAACAAACCACATCTGAGCATTTCCAGCGTCGAGAACGTTCGTTTGAACCGATCAGTTCCGGGTTCTAAGTTGGTAAGTTCTCTCTTCATTCAGTCGGTTGGTTTCCTGGTAAATGCAAACCTAGTTTATGGGTTGCATGAGTCAATCATCTTGTTTTGAGAGTTTCTAGATTTCTGTTTGATTTAGTTTCTTAAGGCGTGACTGTAGAACACTAAGGTCTCTGGTAAAGGTGAATCCGTATTCTGAACTGTGAACGTTCGGTCACGCTTAGAGGTAAGGGAAGCTTATATAATTTGATTAAGATTCTTGTTTTGAATAGATGTACGTTCGTTGATTTCTGAATGAATATGACGTATGATTGTTGATATGTTTCGACTGTATGAAGTGTGAATATTTACTATGATATGGATGTATGAATGTATGAAGATAGATGTTGAGAAATGTATTGATAAGATTATGAATTCTAAGTCTAGAGTTTTATGTGAAAATTGATGTTCGTCACTGAAGATCTTTGACCGTTGGGTTTTCCTGTGGACTCGGTTGGAACTGGATTCTTTCATTTGGAAAGAATTCCAGTTGAGGATCGAGCGTCTTCGTTCTGTAATATCTGTATATAAGCGTTCAACCAAGGATATTCGTTCCTTGGTGTTTAATGGTAAACTTAAGTATATCTATATGTATTTGTATATTTCGTTCGTTCGTGAACACTATTTAAATGATATCTTATTATATTTATCAAGCCTTTCTTTTATAAGTTTAGTAGTGCTCGGTCTTACACCAAGCACTCGTACTAAGTAGTGCTCGGTCTTACACCAATCGCTCGTACTAAGTAAGTGCTCGGTCTTACACCAAACGCTCGTTCTCGTTTCCGTAATCTATCTTTATAATAAGAGCGTTCGTCCAAACTCCATAGAGTTCGCTCTCTACAGTGCTTAGTCTTCAACTGACCTTCGGTTTCCTTGAGGTTTAGCTCATTAAGAAGCTAAGTATTTATTGGCGATCGGTTTCTTCATATGATTCCGTCAAGTACTATTATTTGGTGTCCTACAGTACCGGTCTCAATTGGTTTCGGCCTAGAGTCCTAGTACTCGGCCTAGGCTTTACGGTGTTCGGTTTGAACTCTCAAGAGTCAGTTCATTAAATTGGCTCACTTGGTAAACAACATTCGATTATATTAGTCTTTGAGAAGTATTATTATATTCGGTCCTTTTCACAACTAGTGAGTAACTCTCTCAATTTGGTTATGTTTGAGTTGGAGACATCTCGGTCTCACTCCAAGTGTTCGGTCTTGTTCTGGATTAAAAACTAACGTGCGGTATTTGGTATCCTAAGGGATCATTATTCAAATTGGTTCAGTTAAGGTTTTAATAATGAAAGATGATATAATATGATATGGATGAAATGACTTTGGTTATGGAAGAGTGTTCCGGGGAGGAATATCTCATGATTTGATATTGGAATGGTAAAGTATGAATGTGGGCACGCTAAGCTGGCGGTTCATCCTGATATTCCGTGATTACTCGTTTCTCACATAGAGAAGGGTAAGTCATGTGTGGGAATGGCAGGAGGTCCTCGTCCTTATGGTTAATTTGGACGGAACGGACTAACCTCGGGTGGCAGCTGTTGAGGGTATCCCAGTTACTACATCACCCGGGTGCACGAATGTCGTAGCTACATAGAATTTATACAGTCCGGACAGTCAGAGTCTAATATTAGGCTTTGCATGAAAGAGTTAATGAGTTATCTTGTTTAAATTGATCGAGTGAGATATATGTTGATAATTGAATTAATTACATAAGCTTACCCTATTTTCTGTCTTGTCCGTTTGTACGTTCAGTAGTTGTCCTTCTGTTGCAATGATCATCCGTGTGAATGTGAGCAGAAGGAGAAGCTTTGCTGGAAGAGGCGCTGGAAGAAGAAAGTTTGGTCGAGGTAGAAGTTAAGACCGAACAGTAATAGTTAGTTTCTTTGTGTGATAACCGTTCGATCATCTGTTGTTTTTGTTTTTTGTATGACCGTTCGGTACGTCTTCTGTAAATCGTTCGGTCTAGATTGTATATTTGTACAGTTTTAATTTCCCCGTTATCTTGTAAGGTTGTTCGGTCATAATCGTACGTCTCATCTTTTGTAAGACTTATCTGGAATATTATTAATATGTGATTATTTCTTTATATAGTTTTTATACTGTATTTTTAGGATGTTAACATACAATATGTATAAACTGGATTGATCTGGTTTGTTGTATATATTAATATTTTTATTTTGAGTTAAGTTTTTTAGGTTTGCAAAATGGATCCGTTTCTAAATCCATTCTCTCCGTGACTGTTTGATTGGAGGATCAACCCAGAGCACAAATGAGGACAATTTTCCATCTTATGAATCTTTGCTACTTCTGTTCAACAATTTTAACCCAATTCAATACCTTTACCCATAATTAGTTATCTATTTAGTCTTGTTATTGTCACAATAGTTGTCAGATAGCTTTTCTTATTTTGCATGGTAGATTCAATCATTTAGTGATCAGTGTGCAAAATAAATGACCATCCTATGGTAGGTAACTAATACCTCTCAACCCTTAATGAAAAACTCCACTTTCAAAAGCATTTAATACCCTCAGTTACAAACTTAATAGATAGCAGTTTTTTTTATATGTAAAGTTATACTAATATATTTAACTCTAAACCTTAAAAACATTAATTAACATTGTACTCAACAGGGTAAAATTAAAATTTTCAACACTTTCTGATAAAGAAGATCGGCCAGAACAGCATTAGCAAGGTTACCAAGTTTTGCTAGTTGGATTTAAGTCCTACGAACTGGATTTCTTTATTTCAGCTAATAATTAATTAAGCCATGTTAGATGTGTACTAACGTTTCTAATTATCACCAAATTGATGCGCAAGTTTCACCGATAACAAATATAAAATACTCTTTTGCTTACCACTACTTCAATCTTTCATGTGTATAGCTACTGATAAAATTAACCATCTATTGTGACTTTATAACATAAGATTGTAATCACACAACTAATAAATGTAATTAGTATGATAAATTTATGATTTTGAGATCTAAAGTACATCAAATTTTTGTTTGTTTTGAGAGAAAAAAATATGTCTGCATCACATGGGCAACGATTTGTGCTGCATAACATTAGGAAGCAAATTCTTTTATTTTAAGAAAAAGTAACAAGTAAAATTAATTGTAAGGGTTGAAATTTTGTCGGAACCGAAAGATATGGTCGGCACTTGTTTACTCCACTGTTGTTTTCAATGGAGACACCAACTCAACACTAAATAATTTTCCTTTTTTTCTTTTTTTTTTTGTCTTTTTCTTACTAATATGCCAAATTTACATTTTAGGGAGCATGAAATTATGCTCCCCACCCACCCTATTTTCCCACTTCCTCCATCATTATTTGCTCATTGTCATTTTCAATCTCTCTTTTCAATAACCTTTATTAGAATATTCAGTGACTTTATATGGTTTTTTGTGAACTTATTATGCATTTATAAGACAATTTTTTTCAGTACTGTAAATGGTACATTGGTTAGATATTTTGTGTTCACATGTTAAAGACATTGTTCATCTAATAAACATATTTTTTCAGAAACTTGTCATACCATCATAAAATTAATTTATGGTTAACTGAAATGAAAAAAAAAAAACAAACAAACAAGGGACTGAATAAAAGTATAATTCTGGATTCAATTTTTAACTCAATAATTTATTTATTTTAATTATAAAATAACTATTACGAAACTTAATTGTTTGAAACTATTTTATATGAAGTAAGTAACTTCTGCCGGTTATTAATATATTCGTGATTCAAAACATGGACATTGAACTGTCTATTTAGAATTTTGTTATAGCCTCCACCTGTTTCATATTATAAATAAATTTAATAAAAAGTATGGAATGCCATGATTTTCATTTATTGAAAAGGTTAAGTGTTTGTTTAGACATTTCAATGTAGATACAAAAAGCATGGTAAATTAAAAAAAATAAAATAATTATCATTTTATTTTTAAAAATAAATGTAATTTAATTTTAATGGAAATGATATTAAAATTAAATTAAGATTGGTATATATACTTAAAAAAAAGTTAAAATGGAAAAGATAAAATTAAATTAAAAAGGAATTGTAGGAAAAAAATTTAAATACATTTATTTAAATACTATGGTGGTGCTATGTTTCACATCCACCAAACAAAATATACCGATTTAACAACTTATAATTTACAATTTAAATTATCTA